TTTTATGAAAAAATTACTTGAAGATATATTCCAGAAAAATGTAAAAGGTATCTTGTGAGAGAGGATACAATTGACTTATCTCAGACAGTGAAGGGCTGTCCAGGACTGAATGCTGTGTCGCTGGCTCTGAGAACATCCTGGAAAGATGAAGGCAGAATATTGCAGGGTTTTCAGGAGAGATCCTCTAGGAAAAATGGGGACTGTATTTAATGGACAGTAAGGATTGAAGCTCAACATCAAGAAAACAAAGATTCTCACCACGAGGCCAATTGGCAGCACCATGATGGATGGAGAAAAGATTGAGGCTGTAACAGTTGCAGCTTGCTTGGCTCCTCAATCAACACTTTTGGTACCAGCAGTCAGGAAATCAAAGGACGAATCACATTAGGTAAATCTGTCAGGGACCTCTCCAGAATACTGAGAAGCAATGATGTCAGTCTAGAGACCAAGTTGTACCTGATCCAGTCCATGATCTTTGCAATTACTTGCTATGTGTCAGAGAGCTGGATAATGACTAAGGAAGGAGGATAGAGTAGAATTGATGCCTTTGAGTTGTAGTGCAGGAAAAAAGTCTTGAACATACCATGGATTGCCGGGATAACAAAGAAGTCTGTCTTAGGGTGAAACCAAGTTTATCCTTGAAGGCTAGAATTTTGAACTCTGTTTCACATACTTTGGGCATGTGGCAAGGAGGGACTGATTCGTGTTGGGGAAGGACTTCATGCTTGGAAAGGTGGAGGGACTGCACAGGAGAGGAAGACACTGAATGAGATGGATTGATACAGTAGCTAGGGCAATGGGGATAGGTGTATCAGAATCAGTGAGACTGGCTCAGGACAGGACAGGGTTCAGATATATTGTACATAGGGTTGCTATGAGTCACAGGCAACTTGATGGCACATAGCAACAACTAATATTAATTATATTGCCTACTAATATTATCAGATATTATCCTGAAGATGATGAAACAGATGATGCAATGTAGTCTTTACAGCTATAAAAGTTGTTTTTGTTGTTGTTAAGTACCGTCGAGTCGTAGACGACTCATAGCGACCCTATGAATGAAAGACCTGAACACTTGTATAACTTTCATCGTTTCTCCAAGTTCATAGTTTCCAGAGGCAAGCTGAAAGTGGATGCCACTCCTGCTTCCTGCTATAAAGGTAATCAGTTAAATAATTAGGCATACAACTATTAAATATGGGAAGGGCAAACAGAAAGTGGCAGGGCAAGTGATCTGCTTCCAGCTGTTTCCAAGGTGACTGATTTCCAAAAACAAGCCAGTGTAAACTCTGTGGTCACAGCGGTCTAATCCACAGTGAGTCATAAAAGATAGTATGGTCATGACAGGTTTTTTTAAATTTAAATTTTTTACTGATTTGCTTACAAAATTTGTATATGATTGTGTTTCACACTGTTATTCACATTGTGTTTTATACAACTATTCTCATTCATTATGCTTTATAACATAAATCACCTTGGACCATGCCCACCACTATTACCCTGTCTTTTTAGGTCCCTGCAAGATCTTTTACATTTTCTTCACGCTCTCCCTACTACCCACCAAACTCTGCAACCCTGTGTATTCTACCCATCATCATCTCTCTGTTCCCACCCCTTCCCCATTTGATCCCCTATATGTTTTACTAGTTATCATTCTATTTTTACAATAATGGTCTTGTGCAGTATTTTTCCTTATGAGACAGAGTTAGTTCACTGAGCATAATGCTATCCAGACTCTCTCAAGTTATGTAGTATTTTTAAAATTGTTGCTCTTGAATGCTCCATTGTGTGAATGTACCAAAACTTCTCAATCCATTCAGTTGTGGTTGGACATTTGGGCTGTTTCCATATCCTTTCTATGGTGACTAATATAATGCTGCTGTGAATAATGGTCTACAAATCTCCATTTGTGTTTCAATTCTAATTTCCTTGGGATATATTTTTTAATGGGAATAGAGGAGCTAGTGGCAAGAAGCTGAAATCCTGAAGGTGCATGGTTCTAATCCCCCAAGCTGCTCCACAGGAGCAGAATGGGAACTCTCCCTCCCCTGTGATTACTGCCTCTGAAAACCTACTATGGATCTGTTCCAACTGTACAGTACACAACAATAACATATTCCTACTAGTAGAATAATTGGGTAATACAGAATTTCTGTGTTCAATTATTTGAGGAAACGCCAAACTGCCTTTCAAAGTAGTTAATACCGTTTTACATTCCCAGCAAAAATGTATAAGAGTTCCTTTCTCTCCACGTACTCTCCAACATTTATTACTTGCTTCCCTGTTAAACTTTGATATTACTGTTGAGGTGAGATGGTACTTCATCATGGTTTTGATTTGCATCTTCTTAAAAAAGAAATTTATTTATTAATTTTAATGAATATTTACAGAGATTTTGGATTTCCATTCATTCATTGTTGCATTTTCTCCCTGCCCACCCCTCCACCCCAGTTTGTTCTTCTCTTTGAAAAGTAAAAGAAAAATTCTTTCACTGGTATACAATCCGCACCTCCCCCCCCCCCCAGTACACTCCACTATGCAACCTTCATTCTGGACTCTTGTCATAACCATAATTCCCAATCATATATTGCTTTTAAACTGTTCTCTCCCTCATCTGTTTCAATGCAGTGTACATAATTTATCCAATTTTTCTAAGTTTCTCCCTAACCCTGATGTCAGTCCCATTCTACATCAGTGGCACTATGCAGTATTTGTCCTTCTGTGACTGAGATATTTCACTCAGCATAATGTCCTCTAGGGTCACCTATTTTTAATAATATTGCATGAGGGGGTCACCCATTTTTAATAATATTGCATGAGTTCCTTGTTTTTCAATGCTGCATAGTATTCCATTGTGTGAATATACCAGAGCTTCCCTATCCATTCATTTGTTGATGGGCACTTAGGTTGTTTCCAGCTCTTTGCTATTGTGAATAAAGCCACAATAAACATGGTTGTGCATATATCTGCCTTGGTGGCAGTTATGGTTTCTTTAGGGTATATTCCCAGTAGAGGAATTGCTGAGTTAAATGGTATTTCTATTTGCAACTTTTTGAGAGCACCATACAGCCTTCCATAGTGGTTGCACTGTTATACACTCCCACCAACAGTGAATAAGGGGTCCAGTTTCTCCTCAAGCTTGCCAGTATTTGTTGTTTTGCTAGTGATTTTGAGCATTTCTTCATGTGTCTGTTTGCCATCTGAATATCTTCCTCAGTGAAAAATGGGCAATGTCTTTTGCCAATTTTGTAACTGGATTTTCAGTTTTTTTCCTTTTCGAGGCCCAGAAGTATTCTATAAATTTTTGTTTCAAGATTCTTATCTGAGATAGTATTAAGAAATGTTATTTTCCCAGTTGGTAGGTTTTCTTTTCACCCTACTGGGAAAAAAGGTTTTGATGAGCACAGGTATTAATCTTTAGAGAGTCTCATTCATCAGTTTTATCCTCTCCAGATTATGCATTAATGGCTGTATTGGGAAGTCCTTTATACTATACTAGGCCTTCTAACCTTGGTCCTAGTTTGTCTTTTATGGATTTTATGGTTTGGGGCCTTACTCCCAGTTCTCTGGCCCACCTTGAGTTGATCTTTGTATATGGTTTGAGATGTGGATCCTGTTTCAGCTTTCTGCAAGAAACAGTCCAGTTTTGTCAGTATTATTTGTTGAAGAGTCTGCCATTTCCCGATTTGATAGGTTTTATTTCTTTGTTGAATATCAATTGACCATACTCCTCTTCACCTCCTAACTCCAGTATTTTTATTCTTTATGGTTACATGGAATGTGGCTTGAAAAACCAAGATTTTAGATAGAATCATTCTACGTAATTTAAATACTCTAAATTGTTCAAGAAGTTGGACTTTATGAACAAGAGTACAACATCAAAATTGGATGAAGGCTTATAAAGAGCCTATATTATACAGATGACACAACCTTACTTGCTGAAAGTGAGTAGGACCTGAAGTACTTGCTGCAGAAAATCAAGGACTACAGCCTTCAATATGGATTCCATATCAGCATCAAGAAACTAAAAATCTTCACACTGGACCAATGGGCAACATCATGATGGATGCAGAAAATATAGAAATTGCCAGTGATTTCCTCTTGCTTGGATCCACAACCAATACCTGTCAGGAGGTTGGGAGATGTATAATATTTGGAAAATCTCCTGTCAGGAATCTCTACAAAGTCCTGAAGAGCAATGATATAACTTTAAAGATTAAGTTATGCCTGATTCAGGCCACAGTCTTTTCCATCATGTGGTATGCATCTGAGAGCTAGACAGTGAATAAGGGTGACAGGAGAAGAATTGGTGCATTTGATCTGTGGTGTTGGAGAAGAGCACTGGACATCCCATTGACTACCAAAAGAACAAATAGACATGCCTTGGAGAAGTGAAGCCAGAGTGTTCCTTGGTGGCAAAAAATGACGAAGCTTCATCTCACATATTTTTGCCATGTTAGGAAAGACTATTCCTCCGAAAGGCACATCATACTTAGAAATGTGGAGTGTCAGCAAAGGTAAGGAAAGCTCTCAACGTCATACAGTATCTGCAGCAATAGACTCAAATGTATAGAGATTGATAAGGATGACCCAGGTTAGGACAGAGTTTAGCTCTATTGCTCATAGAATCAGTGTTAGTTACACTTGGCTCAATGGCACTTTACTACTACTACTACTACTACTACTACTACTACTACTTCTTTTTCTTTCAAAGGATGAAATCCCACTTATACCAGTCCTTAGAGTATTTGGTGACTAATTTTCTCAAGAATACTGGTTTAAATCTGGAATTTTTGCTAATAATTCTATAATGCTTTCCTGACTTTGTGAAGTTATTTAGCAATATATTCTAACAACCTTAGAATTACAAATCAGATTTCAGAATTTTGAGATAATTTAATGAAATTTATGTCACAAGAAGTAGCGTAAGAATATAGCACCTGTACAAAGTTACTATCAGTGTTACGAATTGCAAACAAAACAAAACTGAGCATCACCGGCCAGTGGGGTCCAAACACAAAGATCTGACTTCGTGCTATGTCGACACGGTTCCATGCCAGGGCCAGGCTCAGCTGGTCAGGAGCAGATGCATTTGTTCCTAGAAAGGGAAGGAGCAAGAAAATAGTGTGTACAGTGTGGTTGTGGGCTCAGGAGGTATGAACGGAACATGGGTTCCCTGGGCTGGTTCATCGCTGGCTGGCTAGGACATCTCTGCCTTTTTCTTGTTTCTAAATTGCCACAAAACCCCAAAGCTGCTGCTGCTTCTTGTCTGTATTTTTGAGTTGTAATAAACTCTTAGCTGACCCTCTAGTGGGTTTCCAGAGGCTGAAAATCACATGGGAGTAGACAGCCCATCTTTCTCCCACAGAGTAGCTGGTGAGTTTGAGCTACATGCTTTGGGTTGCCAGTGAAACTCCTCACCAAACCCCAAAGCTAAGACTTCCATACTTTTAAAGACCTTTCCAGGAGGGAGTAGAGATAATATCTTCCCACTGTAGTTCTGTATATTCTACTTGAGTGGACCTTCATCTAAAAAGGGGTGCTGCTATCCAAAACAGAGGGGTTCCTGCCCAAGGAACCCAAGGTTCATAGCCCCCATGGAGCTGCACAACATTTCCACCCTGAGGGGAATGGGAAGTTGCCTCCCCTCTCTCCTGCCTGCCCCCTCATAGTTGCAGTCCTATGAGAAGTCAATGCACACTGCGTCAGACTCTACCCCATGAGTGATCAACTGGTACCCTGTCAATACTGGCAGAGGCAGAGACTGGAATAGAGCCAGTAATGCCAGTGGTTGTCCCTAATGCAAATGGTGCTCTGATACAGTGATTGTAAATGAAGGTCTGCTTTATGTTTACAGTTCATAGGTTGGAAATCTCGAGTAAGCTATGAATTGGAGTAGGTTCTAACTTCATGGTTACACATCATGGGTGAATACTGAAACCTGTAGAAAATCTCTTTGTTCAAAAATCCTGTCTCCAGGGCCTTGCCATTTTGTCATGGTTTCAGACTGAGACAATTCCAGACTGCCTGCTGCCTTTCAAGTTGGGCAGGAAAAGAGGAGATGTTCCTAATTACAAGTGACATTCTTGGCCAGACCATTGCTGAAGGGCAAGACCACCGTGTCCTGAGGGTGTACCTTTCAGCAGTGCTGTTAAAATAGCCATCTCGACATCTTGCTGGCCTTCAGAGCCCATCCGAAATACAGTCACCTGAAAACAGATTACATGCCAAAGACTCAAGTTAAAGCTGAGCTGAAAACAAGAGGGAGAGTTGGGTGATTTTTAAGGAGCTGCTACAGTGAGATTGATGAGCAGTGAACTATCCTGGCAGCAGTTTGAAACCAAATGCTTTTGATTTCCTAAAATCACATTATTTTTCTTGTCTGGTTTCTTATCAAACTGTTCTAATAGAATCCATTCTAGATTTACACTTTAATGCCTAAATTGTCACTGGACACAATTGAAACCTCTCTACACAGATGTGATGCATTTTAGAAATCTGAAAGAGGACATTTTCTGTTGGCACTGAAGGTGGCTTATGCTTCTAAACACAATTGAGGGTGACGATGTGAGAAGCAAAGACTTGGAAGTGAATAGATAGGCCTTGGGACCACGTCTAAAAATGGTAGATGTCATTCTCCCTCAGATCTTTAAATCTAGTGAAACTTCTGTGCCTCCAAGTGGGGATTATGTTACCTGATGGGCATTGTTCCCATTACCAGGAAGTCCCATAGCTGGGCATCATCTATTCAGTGTGGATTTTAAAACCACTTCTTGGAAAAGACTGAGCTCCAGTAGGAACAACCCCATCACATACACTTGGGTCCAGTTAGAAATGAAACATAATTTTCTCTGTGAACTGTGCTTGGAAATAAAGTCAAGACACTTACCAGCTCTTTCTTTTTCATGCACTCCATTATCATTGCAAACAGCTGATGTGACTGTGTCTTGCTGTAATTGAATGTTTTCTGAATGGTAACGAGGAGCTGATCTCTTAGTGATTCATTTATGATCCTGTTTAGAGTGAATGCAAAGAGAGCAAAACAATGTATGTGAAACCTATCCGTTAATAAATTCCATGTCCCTGTGTCCGTCTGGCATCTTTGATTTGTCACTTCACTATTGAAGGCTATGTGAGGATAGACAAAAAGTGATCCTCATCAAAACTGTGTTCAGGCTTGTCCTAAATCCCAGCCTGGCTGGAAACTTTCTAAGTGAAGAGGAAATTACAAGAGTGCATTCCACCAAAGAAATAATTCCATAGAAAACAGCATTGCCCTTCCACCTGAATCCTCCATTGATCAGGGGCAGTGATAGGAAAAAAGATTATAAATCTGTGACATGAAAAGTACATTTTCCAAGTATCAAAGCCTATCACTTAAGATTTTCTTCTTGGTCTGACCAGGAGGCTGCCACAAACCCACCACTGATAAGATGTCAGAACTCCTACCCTCCTTCTTCACAGTACTTGTGTGCAAATGACAGAATGTCTGAGGCCCGTCCGCTGCCATCACAAACCACCACGGGGACTGGAGGGTCTTCTCGGAGGTATTCCAGGACAATGGAAACCACATTAGGGCCCCCTTCAACTATGAGGCCCACGACAGGCACACCCTGCCCCAGTCCTGCAACATAAACCACATTCTGCATCAGGGCCAGTGTCTCCCCACCACCCACGCCCATTTTCAACTCTAAAACAGGATGAGAAAAAAGATGGATGCTCTCCACAAGATACTAGTTTTTAAAGGGATTCAGGTATATGTTGAGAGTTTTCATTCTTTAATTTCAATTCTGTGTTGTTTACTCTTTAGAAAGACCCGAACCTTGACATCAAGAACTCTCTAAATCATGTGGTCAATTTCCATGTATTGCTCACCTGACAATAAGACTACTTTGTGATGAGATGTGAGAAACATGGAAAGATGCTCCTTGCTGAAAATGTACCTCCTTTGTGGCCCAGCCCCAGGGTCTGTAGTTTCATCCTTGATGGCTGTGCCCTTGATGGCTGTGATGTAATGAGAAGAGTCATTTGGATCCCTGGCCTCTTGTGCATTAGTCTTAAAACACTGGGACAATTATCAAGCCATCATGAGCTTTAGCCAGCCATCAGTGGGATGTGCTAAAGGAGCAATAGAGATAAAACATAGGAGAAATATTTGGTAATCAAAGTATTTTGTGAATTTCATAGAGCTATTATATTATTCTAGTTCATCACAATGTTTTGCTTAACAACGAAATGCTCCATCATCACGTACACTCTTCATGATCAGTTGCAGATCAGATCATTGTTCTTGATGGAGTTTTTATTTCCTAGTCCATATCTTAGTCTGGAAGCTTCCTTGAAACCTACTTCACATCATAGCAACACACAAGCTTCCAGTGACAGGTGGTGACTGCCCATGAGGTGAATTTGTTGGCATTTGAATTGTCTACTCCTCTACCCATACTCCTCACATGGAGTGGAAGAATTCTACCCTTCAACCAGCACTGCCATCAATGGACTTATCAAAAACCAAGACCGCTGTTAAATTAGCTCCAACCCATGGTGATCCTCCATTGCATTTCCCCCCCCCCCAATAAAACATGTCTTTTAATTTCTCAATTGTGAGTACAAAAGGTAATTATGGATCAAAGTAAGATGAAATAGTTGACATTTTCTACCTTTTCTCCGTCTTTTGTGGTGTTTCCTATTGGCCTAGTGGCGTAGATTTTTATGTATGTATGTATGTATGTATGTATGTATGTATGTATTTCAGAGGTTTTGGATTTCCATTCATTCATTGCCTCAATTTTCTCCCTGTCCACCCCTCCCCACCAGCTCGCTTCCGCCTCCGAAGAGAGAAAAAAAAAAAGAAAAAAAAATTCCTTCATTAGTACACAATTCCCACGTCCCTTCCCCCCACCCCCCCACCCCGAGTATACTTCTCTATGCAACCTTAATTCTGGATTCCTGTGCTAACCATAATACT